AGTAGCATAATTTCTAGTGAAATTCTAATGATTGGATGACCAGACTGTTTTCCAAGGTGACTGCATCATTTCACGTTTCCATCAACAGCGTGCGCGGGCTTCTGTCTCTCACTCGGCCAGCCCTGGTTACTGAGCTAGCCTCACGGGTGTCGGGTGGGGTCTCATGGTGACTTTGATTTGCATTTCCCCAGTAGCTAATGATATTGAGCATATTTTCATATTGTCCATTTGTGTATTTTCCTTTAGTAGAGTATCTGTTCAGGTTTTAAAATTGATTTGTCTTTTTTTTTGTTGAGTTGTAATACTTCTGCATATACTCTAGATATAAATCCTCTGTGAGATTTACAGACTTTTCTCCGATTCTCTAGTTGTATTTTCACTTCCTTGATGGTGCCCCTTGAAGTAAAAAGGATTTCAATTTTGACATCAGTTTATTTTTTTCTCCCTGTGGCTTGTAGTTTTTTTTTTTTTTTTTTTTTGTCATAAGAAAACTTTGTTATAAGTTGTCTTTTATCAAAGAAAACTTTGCCTAATCCTAAATATTTACCTATGTATGTTCTTCAAAGGTTTTTAATCCATTTTGTGATATTCTTTTTCTTTTTTCCAAAAAGACAGGGTCTCACTTTGTTGCCTGGGTTAGAGTGCAGTGGCACAGTCATGGTTCATTGCAACTTTAAACTCCTGGGTGCTAGTGAGCCTTCTGCTTCAGCCTTTTGAGTAGCTGGGACCACAGGCACATGTCAGCAGATGCAGCTAATTGTTAAGATTCCCTCCCTCCACCTGAGATGGAGTCTCACTGTGTTACCCAGGCTGGTTTTGTGCTACTGACCTCAAATGATTCTTCTCTCTCCCAAAGTGTTGGGATTAATGTATGAGCCCCTGTTCCTAGCCATAAATCATAAATTTTTATGTGGTATGACACTGGATGCAACTTTCAATCTTTTTTTTTTTTTGGAGACAGTCTCACTTTGTCCTCCTGTGTAGAATGCCATGGCGTCATAGCTCACGGCAACCTCAAACTCCTGGGCTCAAGTGATCCTTTTGCCTTAGCCACCTGAGTAGCTGGGACTATAGGTGCCCACCACAACGCCTGGCTATTTTTTAGAGACTGGGTCTTGCTCTGGCTCAGGCTAGTCTTGAACTCCTGAGCTCAAGTTATCCACCTGCCTTGGCTTCCCAGAGTGTTAGGATCACAGGCGTGAGCCACTGTGCTCAGCCCCCTTCATCCTTTCACAGTGAACATTCAGTTGTCCCAGCACCATTTGTCCACCTCAGTTACAATGATAGATTTTTGTGAATGTTTATCTAGACTTTCTTATTAGCAGTTGAAGAGATTTCAAGTTTTACTCCCACCCCATTATCCAAATTAAGAACATAATTTTACTAAGTATTGAAAAAAAATACAGTGAAGAAAGCATTGCATTTTATTTTAGGAATCTTTTGAAGGAGGACAGAAACTGGAGCAGGTTTTGAAATTATGTTACAAATTTTTGAGATGGAAAGCAGAATATTGGGAATGAGAGACTGGGAGAAGGGCCTTCCAGTAGCTAAAAAAATTGAGAGCCGAGTTAAGCTTGTTTTGTGTAGCTCCAAAGCCTGTAAGTAGTAGTAAAGTAGATACATTGAATCCTAAAAAAGAACTTTCACACAATTAAAACTATCTGCTGACTCTGGGCACTCCTCATCAGAGACACTCAAGTGAGGCTGAATGATGGGTTATCATTAAAAGTACAGAAGAGACAGAACGCGGCATTGAGACAAAGTGTTTAAGAGGTGTTCTGAGATATCTATTGTAGTCACTCAATTAGTTGAATTTGCTATTTTCATTTGCTTAATCTAGTTTACTTTTGTATTTGTGAAGATTGTCTCCTGGGGTTCATTCTTTTCCAGACTTCTATCAAGTATCAGAATGGTGAGCGGAAATTATTGTCTTGAAGGATTAAGTGGTAGAAATACTTCAATTTTGGGTTAGCTAAAACAGGACTATTTTTACTCTTTTAGAGAGAGAGAGTCATTGTATTGGAGTACCCCACAAGAGATACCATGGCAGCAAGTGAAAGTTGAGATGGAAACTAAACATTAAAGTTCTAGTCCCACACACGAAAAATGACGATGATGACGTATTAGTCTCACATCACTGTGGCTGGTAGATTGTGAATTGAAAAAAGCTTGTGTGAATTGTGGATTCTAGGGCAATCTAAGTTGTGGTAATGTGAATGGAATTTCATTGTCATTCCCTTCAGGAAGATGAAGAATTTATTAATTCAGAGAAATAAGTTCTTGCTTTGTACAAGTAGATTGTCCCATGTGTACTCAGGAGAAGGCCTGCTGGCTCCTATTTGTGCTTTTGTGATGGGTGTGTTTGAATCATACGTTTTAAAGTTTGGAAAAACCTGATGATTATTTAATCTGATTGAGGCAAATGAGTGAATTTAAACATCTGGCTTTCAGATAGACTAACTTAAGGATTTCTTAGGTAAAAGACTCAAACTTCAAAGTACTATATTGCTCAAAATAGAATTGGGAACAGGAAAAATTAGATGTCTTTTTCTTTGATGTGAGATTTTTGTAATAATCTTTTTAAATAGGGAAAACTTTTTAAGCTTAATCTGTTCAGTGTTTTAAACATTTATCTTGTTTGTCCAATTGTAGAGTCTTTCTCTATTTGAAGGTTATTCCAGTTACTGGCTTCAGACAAAAGCTTTCTTTCTCTGATGTTGGTGAAAGAATGGCTCAGCGAACATTTGGTGCAAATCCACTGAAGTGGAGATGGTAGGCTACTTGTAAGACTTAAAATGTTTTAACATGAGGAGTTCTCCTTGGAGTGATGATACATTTCTTAAAAACAATTATAGCGTACTAATATTTTTATTTCTTTGTTTTTGATGGGCCACCTAAAGATTGCTTCTGTTCAGTTTTCTCTCCATGGTTCTAATAGACTTCAGTTTTCCTTCCTCACGAGTAAAAAATACAAGGCACATAATGTGCAGTAGAGGTCTGAACCTGGGAGCATTGCATGGGTTTTCCTGTAGCTGACTTCTCAGAATGCTTGACACTCCTGTCACTCGAATTTAGGGAGGGATTCATTATTTTGGAGTCCCTCTCCAGTTATAATCTACATTGTAATTTTTGAAATGCTGATAAAAGTTGGAAGGTGAAGACGTTGTTGATGCTAGTTTTGGTATTAGGGAATGAGCCTGAAAAGACTAATATTTGTTTGGTGGTCTTTCTACACGTGGAGGTGGCCTGAGCTGCTATTTAAAGAACCTGTTGCTTTTGCAGCTGCCTTCTCTAGCTCTGTATCTGCTGGAAACCGAGGGTGCAGGAGCTCTGCTCTTCCCCACACTTGACGGTGAGGGCTTCAGGAAAGCCAGCCCCACAGGGCTGAATCATAGCAGGGTCGTTGCTTCGGGGTCAGTGGGCTTGTAGTATCTTAGGTGACAGACTGTGTCATTGTCAGTACATAGCCACATGCGACATCTATGTTAGAGGCACGTCCATGACAATGTTCAGAGCTTTGGATCTTCGCAGTTTGTAGGGACGAGCTGAGCTTCTTGATGCCGTTCTTAGTTCTGTCACATCAGCTTTTGTGTGACCTCAGCCTGAGTGACATTCTTGTCTGAATTCCGAGATGCGTTGACACAGGCTTACGTGGTCACAGCTACCTTGTGTTGCAGATACGTGTCTGTCTCATCTTATTTTGGGGGGGTGGTATTTTAATTGTGCACGCTGTACTACGTAGCAATATATTCCATTTAGTGAACGCACTGTTAGAAAATAAGGAAATTTGACAGTAATGCTCAGAAGGAACATTTTAGTAAATTTATCAACGTTGTACAAATGTGCCTTAATTTAAGCATACTTCCTTTTAATAGAGTAAAACTTTGCTTACTAATATTGTAGCTCAGGTTTCAACACTTGGTGGTTTCACCTTTGCATTGATTAATTGGAATACTCAGTTTCTTCATCTGCAGGATTAGGATAAAGACTGTTCTTGTATTGTGATTTCCTCAAGCCTCATCTCTTCAGAACTTCTAGAAACTTGTGGCTCCTTACTAGTTGCAACTTGCATGGATTTTATATCTTTAAGCAAAGAACATTCTAAATCACTTGTAATATCTATAAATGTGTGAGACATGAAGGTGGCCTTAAAAAACACCTGCATTCCTTAAACCTCACAAGGAACAGTGGGGCTGTGAGTTTCACTTCCCAGGTGCCAAAGGGTTTAGAGCTGCTGATGAAGGGTGCTGCTTGATCCTGTTAGACCACAAAGTTTATGTTAATCACCAGCTAAGACCCTCTTCCCTCACAGAGTTTAGAATTTAAAGAGAAGGTTAATGCATGTAATTTGTAATCTACATGAATTTAGTCTGGTTTAAAAAATTGCCCATTGTTGGAAAGGGAGACTGTTTAAGGAAGGAGGATATGTAAAGTCCAATTGTTAATTATTTCTGGGGAAGGTAGGTTGTGGAAAGGAGGAAGAAGATTGACATCTAGCAAGATTTCTCAATGAAGGCTTTTATTTTTAAACTTTTATAATAAGTTTGAAAAAATATAAAAGATTAACAAAATGAATTTTCATATTCCTGTTGCTTAGTTTTACCAGTTACCAACACATGTTGAATTCAGTTATCACATTTCTTTAGTCTTTAATCTGGCCTAGTTCCTTAGCCGTTCTTGGTCCTTAATGACCTCAGCGGTTTAAAGCCTTCTCCTTACTTTATGTTTGTGTGTTTCCTCAAGATGAGATGCAGACTATGTTAACTGTGATTTTGAAGGAATAAAAGGATGGAATTCTCTGAGAAAGGAAACCATAGATTATGATGGGAAGAATTCTGGATTAAGAATCAGGAGTCCTGAATTCTCTATTCTCTTTTTTCTTTTTTCCTTTTTTTTTTTTTTTTTTTTTGAGACAGAGTTTCAGTTTGTCACCCTGGGTAGAGTGCTGTAATGTCATAGTTCACAGTAACCTCAAACTCCTGGGCTCAAGAGATTGCCTCAGCCTCCCGAGTAGCTGGGACTACAGGTGCCTGCCACAACACCCAACTGTTTTTTAGAGATGAGGTTTCACTCTAGCTCAGGCTGGTTTTGAACTTTTGAACTTGTAAGCTCAAGCAATCCAGTCATCTTGACCTTCCAGAGCACTAGGATTACAGGCATGAGCCACCATGCCTGGCCCCTGAATTCTCATTCTTAGAAAAGAATTTCAGTATACTATATTTAAAGAGCATAGACTTTGGAGGTAATAATGTAGTGTTTAAAGCCCAGCTTTTTCGAGTATATTGTGATGTATAATATAATTGTGAATACCTGTACAAATTTAAGCAAAGTGGTTAATATCTTAGGGCCATTTGTAAAGTATGACTAATAAATTCCTGCCTTTTCGTGCTGTTGGGAGTAAATGAGATACATGTAGCGTACTAAGACGCAATACCATGTGATATTGGTTACAATTATAGTAAATTTGGAAGACGGAAATCACTTTTAATGAGTTTTACACTGTTGAAAACGTTTGAGGGCAGAATATTGCACTTAACCTGTGATTGAGGGATCAGTTGAATTTGGGTCAACTCATCCCCTAGAAAATGCTGTGAAGGCATCTTATCAATTCAGTGTGGGCAATCAGCGTGGTTGACATTGGTTATGCCGTGTCTTCACAGCAATTTTTCTTTCTCTGATCTTGGCCCTTCAAATCCCCGCAGACCTAGCCTGCTGGAAGCTCTAGGAGGCACTTGCTGTTAGACTATATACCCCAGGCCAACTGTCAGTTGGGTAAGAGTGAGGAGGTTAAAAGAACAGGTGAGCTTTGGAGTTTGAGTTTGAAGTCCTGGATCAGGCGTCCTCAAAGTACGGCCCATGGGCAACATGCAGCCCACCTAGGACACTTATCTGGCCCGCCAGGTGTTTTGGCCACTGCTGCCTGTCCTGCTTAGCTGCCGACTCATCCCGGGGACCGCATTCCAGCCCTCCAACGGTCTGAGGGACAGTGAACTGGCCCCCTGTTTAAAAAGTTTGAGGACTCCTATTCTGGATTGTAGTCTAGCAGTGCTATTGGATGGTGTGTGATTTGGGGTAAGTTATTTAACCCACTGGGACCCACTTGGACCCTGCTTCCAGACTGAAATGACCAGCTTGTAATCAGCAATCAGCAGGGAAAAGAAATATGAGTGACAGGACGGAGTGGAAAGGGAGCTCTTAGGAGGAAGCCTGCCACGCTGGATCTTGGAAAACCAGCATGCTCTAGATAGGAGGAGAGGAAAAGGGAAAGCTGTTGGAAGAAGAATACTGAATTAAAGAAGGCATAGTTGGAAACAAACCTGTCCTGTCACAAGGTAGGGAAGGATGTGGCTGGAAAGGGAGTAGGAGTAAGGTTAGCAACTCTGTGCAGCCTTTATAGTTGCATGTGCCACTCTGAGTCGGTACTGGGATGTGGCCCTGTTATTTAAATAAAGGTTGATGAGATAACTCGGTGGAGCATAATTCACCTTGCACAGCACTTTGGAATGGCTTTTAGACAGTTTGCCTTGGAAACTTAGGGGTTTTTTTTCAGGAGGATATCCCAACTCTCTTTTCCCTGATATTTGAGGTAACAAATACCAAGTCTTGGTGGAAGAAAAGAGCCATGAAAGCACTATACTAAACCACCTTAGAGAAAGAGAGTGAGGTTGAAATACAGGCCTAAGGATTTTTGGGAATGTTTCTGTATGTCATGTGTTGATTCTGGAGCTTATGGAGACCCAGCCATCCAAATCTGGCAGTTGATCTTGGAAGAACAATAAATGGTTTAAGAACTATGAACTGAAATGATCTTCAAAATTAGTAACCAGTGCTGTTGCCTAGACCAGAATCTAGGCCAGCAGTGTATCGCAGCGTAGGGAATGGCAAATTTCAACAGTCCTGTCATGGACAGTTGTTAAAACAGCTCCAGGAATAAACTTAATTGGGTAGAGTATAAATATTCTTGGCTCATTGTGCTGATGTGGTTTCTTTTCTATTAAAATCTGATTATACAGGTTTTTCTTTGTTTTCATGAGGGAATACTTGGAATAAATCCCATTTTCTTAAGTTATCTGGAATTACTGTCTGACATTTGCAGTCAATACACCCGAATTTCAGTGCTAAAACCTAAGTTTCTCTTGATTCTTTTTTTTTTTTTTTAAATAAAAGTTTAGTTTGAGAAATTGAGAGAGTAAGACACTCTCCACGTGTTACAATGTGACCAATTTGTCCTCCTCCACTAGAATACCTGGCATCACTGTGAAGGAGTTTTTCTTTTTAAACTTCTGTCCTTAGCACAAGAAAGGGTGCTGGGCAAGCAGTAGGCTCCCAGTAAATAGTCCCTGAATGGACAAAACTGTGGTGTTTTACAGCGTAACATGGAGTGAAGCCTGATAACTGAGAGCATTCCCAAACGGATTTTCTGTAAAGTCTTACTCCCTTTTTATTTTGCCTAAGAATCTAGTTATGCCTTTGTACAAAAATACCATAATCAGTCTCAGGGCCTACTCAGTGAGTAGGGCGCCAGCCACATACACCGAGGCTGGTGGATTTGAGCCTGGCCTGGGCTTGCTAAACAACAATGACAACTGCAACCAAAAAATAGCTGGGCATTGTGGTGGGCGCTTGTAGTCCCAGCTGTTCGGAGGCTGAGGCAAGAGAATTGTTTAAGCCCAGGAGTTTGAGGTTGCTGTGAGCTGTGGTGCCACTGCACTCTACCCAGGGTGACATAGTGAGAGTGTATCTCAAATAAATAAATTAATTAATAAAAAATATAAAAAAATACCATAATCAGATTTTTAGTCTAAACGAGAAAGGACCTTACTGGGTTGTTGTGAGTCATCAGAATCAGTGTTAAAGGTCCCCCCAAGGTTAGTGTGTAAAAGACATGTAGTTAATAATTATGGTCTGTGTAAAAGAAGAAGTTCATTTCTTGGCCTTGAGTCATCTCAAAACAACAAATTTTAGTACCTTTCACCTCTTACTACTGTGGAAGTGATGAATGTGTACACTAAAATGAAAAAAAAAAAAGGAAGAGAGACTTCTTCCCTAGTTGTACCTGGCTGTTCCCTGCGATGGTAAGAACTCCTGTTTGGGTTCTTTTGGTTGTTGCCATTGTATGATTTGTTGTCGTTCTTGATGTATTAGCGTGAGACATTGTTGATTGTCTCCTTCAACTTTTAAATTAAGTGTTCCATATAATATCTTGATGAAATGTGTTCTTTGAATAATGCCTCAGGTTAGGAAGTCATTGTAAACTCACATAAAGACAATCTGAGAGTGAAGAAAGTTAGGTTTATTGGGTAGGAGAAACATTGGGAACAAGTGGATGATAAGCTGCAGGGCCGTCGTGTGTATACTTGGAATAAAGATCTGATACTCCTTTGTGCCCTACTTGTGGACTTGCACCTCAGTCTGGGAATTTAGATCTGAGTAGGATTAGACTTGGTTAGGTTATTTTATCCATTCAGAGAATTCCTTAGAGACTTGGGAGATTGAAGTAATTCTAGAAGTTTGTTTTTGCTTGTGTAGTAAGGGTGTAATTAGACCATTCACTCCTCAGTTAGAATGTAAAATCCTGGGTGACAATGCATGATCCTTCAATGGACTCTTACTAAATGAATGTGCTCAAGAGCACATTAGAGACTCTGAAAAGATCAAGTGGTTTTGAAAGAACAGACTCTTGGATCTGGACCTCTGTATTAACCTGGAATGGAATCAGTTTCTTAGAGTGTGGGTTAGTTGTTGCTAGAGCATTCTACAAATATGTCTAGAGTTTCTGGCTGAGAGCAGTGAGGAAAGGAAAGCAAGCCACAATTCAGATATTATTAAGAGATCTATAAAAGGCTGTTGGCTCTAGGCTCCTGGTTCATAATTCCTCACCATCTCGCACTTTATGAAAAAGAGCAAATTGTTGGGGTCACAGTGTTAAGTAGTTCTTGGTTGACAGGCTTATTCCTTCCCACTAAAACTTTCTGCTTTTCAGTACCAGTTCTTTGATCTTTTGAAAGAAATAGAAATAGTTCTTCCAGTCATTGACATGGATATAAAGTGGAATTGTTGGATTTCAAGGCAGCTGTCTTTGTCCTAAAATGTCGTATTTCAGGCAGCTGCCTGTATCCTCCGTTCTTGGAGTGCTTTTAGTTGAAAATGACCAGACCTGCCAAAGTAAGGCAAGCGTGAAACAAAGTTGATTGAGGAAGAGAAAGATAGGGTTACACAGAAGGAGGGAGAGAGGCCCAGGTTATGGCCGGTGGTTCCCTTTTGTGCTGTTTGGATCAGGTCTACCTGGCGGTTCGGAGGTCACCTTGGAAGCAGAGTCTTACTGTGCAGCCTTCCCTGAGCCCATTGGAGGTGAGTCATCCTGATTGTCTCCTTTTAGCTTTTAAATTAAGTGTTCCATATAATGTCTTGATGAAATGTGACATACATTCAAATCATACAATGGCAACGACCAAAAGAACCCAAATAGGAGTGCTTACCATTGGTAGGTAACAACCAGGTACAACTAGGGAAGAAGTCGTTCCTTCTTTTCATTTTAGCGTACACATTCATCACTTCCATTGTAGTAAGAGGGGAAAAGGTACTAAAATTTGTTGTTTTGAGATGACTTGGGGCCCATCGGGAGTGTGGACACAGTGCAGATGTAAGCCAGTGACATGGTAATGTGTCTCAAGGCTGTTCCAGTTTACCTTCAAGACTCTTTTGTACCTGGTCCCAGGCCAGAGTCCTCTGTGTCCTTCTGCAGGTGGACCAAAGTTCCGATTGGTGTGTGAGCAATCATTTGGGACAGAATTAAGGTGGGCAGCGCTGACTTTGGGGGAGGGGGTGTCTGCTCCTTCACCCCTCTTTTCCCCAGGAGAGCCAGATTTCTAGTTACCTACTTCTTATATCCCAGGTAGTATTATAAGCTTGATGTGCATTATCTTAGTTAGTGAACACGACAGCATTCCTTTGAGAGAAGATACCATTACAATCCATATTTTACAGATGAGATTAAGGTTTAGAGAGGTGAAGAATCGGCTGTTG